CTCACTTGTGATGCATAGACACTTACTACAGACATGATCTCACCCTTAATCACCAATTTAATTCCTATGATACAATTATTTTCCCTAAAACCCTCCACCATATCATCACATAGTCACACACCATAATAATGTCTACTCCATTTCCAGTCTTCTCACTCCATGAATAATCTCCATAAGTTATAACCGCCGAGATTAATCCCACGTGCTTTCTATACAACCCACTTAGTTTCTAACACGCACATACTGCTGATATTCATTCTCCTCATAACCTTGACTACCCCAGATGATCTTCCCATGAGAGACCCAATATTCCATGCCATATATAGAGCACAATCTAGCACCCCACCTCCAATTTTTAACACCACTTCGCCCCCCAACATGCCCTTGCATATTTGACACCATCCTCGAGCAATGGGGTGGCACACCGCTTCCGGGTAGGGTAGAGCACGGGTCAGGTTCGGGCGGGTCGGGTTCAAAAATGATAAACCCGTTCGGGTATCGGATTGATAATTTCAAACCCTACCCTATCAAAAAATTTGTCGGTTTTTTTCGAGTTGAAGAAATTCGGGTTGCGGTCGGGTTGATTGGGGTTTCGGGTCCATTCGGATTTTAATTTATTATTGTTGAAATTGTGATAAATAAAATGGTAATTGGTAAACATATCATTCAAAGTTATACTAGTATATCATTCAAAGTAATAGTTGTATAAATACGGTAATCGACATATTTGAACATGTAAAATAATAATATACGGTGATTGACATAATTGATATTGTGATAAATAAAATGATAATTGGTCAAAATATCATTCAAAGTCATAATAATACAACATTCAAAGTTATAGTTGTACTAATACGGTAATTGAAATATTTGAACATGCATAATATGGTAATTGACATATAGTAATTGAGATATTTGAACATGCATAGTAATTTAAAGTAGTATATATACTATGCTAGTTCGGTTTTTCGGGCGGGTCGTGTAGCATAATTGGTAACCCTACCCGCTACCCACTTAAGTCTCGGGTAGCAAAAATTGGATCAGGTTTGGGTATTTCGGGTCGGGTTTTCCGACCCCAACAAAAAAAATTGGATATATCCGATCGGGTCAATCAGATAGGGTCGGGTTTGCTCTCCCCTACTTCCGGGAGATAACCTGGAAACCTTAGCATTCTTATCACCACACTCAGACCTATGAAGTTTAGCGCGCCCTTGAATATTTGAAACCACCCCAGGCAGAGGGATGATATGTCTCTTACGGACGACAACCTAGTTGTAATGATATTCATATTTCAATTCATGTCATGTGATGTGACTAAGTGATACTATTGACCGTCACACACCTATCACATCACCCTCATCCTTTATCTTATTTTGAGACAAGCATGATACTAAAAAAGATCTAATGTGGAGTTAAAGAGTATTCTATTGGATTGGAATTTAGGGATTGTTGGGTTGAGGATTCAACCATGTGAAAGAATACTTTGGGAAACCTTTTGGGAATTTTTCACAAATAGACTTCAAAGTGAAAATAATATCACTTTTGTCCCCCTTCAATTTTTTTTTTTCAAAAATAGACTTGGTAATACTTTCTTTTCACAAATAGACCATACAGAGTATAAAGCATCTGCCCATGTTATTTGATTCTCCGTACTATGGTGGGCTGCTACGCTCTAACAAATACGGAGTACATTAATACCAAGGTGTATTAATGCATTGATAGTTTGATAATTTGATGCTCCATATTATGCAGAGCTGTCACTTGCTTTTCAATGCAATTTTTTTAAATAGAAAAATGTGAGAATTCATGGAAAATCCAAAAGGTGAAAATAAACAGAAAACATAAAAATAGAAATAGTATATAATATTTAAAAGCTCAAACTAAAACTAAAAAATAAAAAATCCATTATAAAAGTTAAAAATTGAAAAATTGAAAGTTAAATATTAAAATTAGATGAATATGATATTTATAAAATAAAAAAAAAAAACACAAATATTCTTATAAAATAAAATATTTTAAAAATTCAAAAATATAAAAAATTAAAAGTGTAATAAAAAGTTTTAAAAAGTTAAAAAAAGAAGAACGTTAAATTTATAAATACAATGTGTAAATAAGATAAAAATGATTTGAAGCTAGTAAACAATTTCAAAAGTAAATACAAACTTTTGTGAAGGAGTGGTTATTTAAAAAAAATTAAAAATATGCACACTAGAAGAATAAAAATAATATAAATATATAAAAAAATTCAAAATTGAAATAAATAAAATTAATTTTATAAATATTTAAAAAATTAAAATATTCAAAACATTATAAAAAAGATAATTAATTTAACTTAAAGAGTGTAATGTTCAAAAACTCAGTAAATAAAAATCAAAAAAGCTAAAATAACGATTTTGAAACATAATTAAAAATTTTAAAAATATATGAATTTTGTAATGTAATATTTCTTAAAGAACTTAATCTTTTAATTATGATTATAATTTTATTGTTAGTTTTTGTTTCATACTGTTTCTTTTTGTTTATAACTTTGAAATTTTTGTTTCTTATTTTTTTTTAAGTTTCTAGTTGTTTATATAAATTTATCATTTTTGTGTTTGTATATAAAAAACTATATAGATCTTTTTTTAAAGAAGTAGAAAAGATAAATTGAAACCTAAATAAACTTAAACAATCTATTTCAACAATAAAACAATAATAAGCAACAAAGTGCAACAAAAAGCAACATGATGCAACACGATGCAACAAAAAACAATACAGTTGATGCAACAAAAAGCAACAAAGACAATATATAAAAGTATCACACCAAATGAACTTCCTTAAACAATAAACAAAATCGACAATAAAAAACAATAAGCAACAGACTACGACAAAAAGCGATACGATACAACAAAAGGAAACACAATACAACAAAGTGAAACAATTTTGATACAACAAAAAGAAACACAATGCAACAAAATGAAACAATTCTGATACAACAAAATGAAACAACAAACAAATGAAGCCATCTTCCACCTGGGTAGAGTGAGCTCTTAAAATTGATGACTTGTTTTGGACACTGAAAGAAGAAGAGCAGGCAGTATCTACTATGTTTTTCCTTTTCTATTGAGGAGGAGATTCGTTCATTTACTTTATTGCATTGATCTTTTAGTCTAAATCACCTTCCTCGATCCATACCTTTCTGAGATCCCAATATGCAATTTATATATGCTCCCTGCATATATTGAGGCAACTGCTATGCAACTTCTTACAGCTTGTGTACAATCTGCATTCTTAAGGCATACAAAACTCCCATCACAATTATAAAACTTATCTATGTATTCTTACGTCTTTCTATGCCACGTTTTGCATTGCTAGGAACTCCATCAGCCACCCAACAAAACTTAAAACAAAAAATTACTTTAAACCTCAATTAGGGGATCAAATTTAGGCCACCTTCGCCTTGCTTTTATTGGGTGGATTCAAACCATAGGCTGAACCTTCATATGTAATTGTTGTTAATGTACTTGCACTTTGACCATACTATGATATACATGAACTCTTAAACTCATACGTTTATCAACTTGTCCAATAATGAGGCATTTTAGAAAATTCATGGGAAAAACACCAATTAATTGAAATGTACAAACACATACTGTCCTAAATAACCATTTATCATCATTGATAGGTACCATGTTGTATTGTATTGTATATGAATAAGAAACTAAGACTTACGGTACACACACTAGTAGAGCGGCCAAGGCAGTCTGAATCCAGAAACTCTTGATTGGTATCATGAATATATGCCATTCTCTTTGGACTTAGCAGATTTGCAGCACCCGTGCTTGCTCTCTTATTGGAAGATTCAACAGATACAATACTCTGCACTTTTATGCAAATTAAAATCCAAAACTATATGCTAGTTAATCAATGTTGAAAATAGAAACGTCCAAAGCAAACATCTAAATCATATTTTTCAGAGAGAATTAATATATTCTTCACCAGAACATCATCGACATAATCAAATTGTGCAACAAATATTAAAAAAATTAAAACTGCAAAGGAAAACGAAATCATTGAGCTGATATTACTCTATGTATGTATACATATAAATTAAAGGTAAAACACTTGATAAGGATTTGAGCTAACCAGTCTACAAAATTGTCTCATTTTTATTTGCAAATGAATTTGAAGGGATGTAGATGAAAATAAGGGATGTGGCGGCGATGAGCGGCGGTGATGAACAGACAACCTCCTAAAAGACTATTCAAAACTTATTGAAGTTGCCTCAAAACGATCTTATCCATACTAGCGATAATTGCTGGATTGAAATTCACCAAGGAGAAGAATATTAAGAGCACGAAGTCGAATTAAACCTCCGTGAAGCAATTGTTCAATTGTGGAAGTGAAGGTCCGTCGGAGAAATTGAATCAGAGGACAGGACGGAGGACGAAGCGCAAAGCCGCACAGGAGGGACGACGACGACAGAGCTGCACAGGACGGAGGGCAGAGTGCGGAGGCCGAAGCCACGGAGGCCGGAGGCGCAGCCAGAGCTGGGTAGGTGAAGAACAACAATACACGCTTCTACTTCAGGCCGGATGCCAGATTGCCAACGATCGATCTCTCCCTTTGAGTTTTGATTTAGCTAGGTTATTTTTGAAATAAAAAAACAAAAGTGAAAAGTTAAAAGTTTATATTTAAAAAGTAAATAATTAGGTGACATAAATGATATGGAATAAACAAAGGTGAACTGAAGGAAGAAATTTCCACAAACCTTTTAGATAGTTGCCCTAGACGTTTCTACCCAAGGCCCAAGCAATGGGAAGAGAGCGGGGCATCTTGATGACCTGCTAATTAAATCCAAAATTCCCGCCAACAGCGCGAACACAAACTCCATTCTCACGATTCAGTTTTTTAACTTATTATTACTCCGTATTGTTAAATTAAATTAAATTAAATACAGGGTGAGTATTACGAGTACTATACGTACAATTTATCCATGTCTTGGCTTTTTCCAGACCCTTTATTTATTCCAATACTTATCTCGCCCCATTCGCCACAAAAGCCTACCCGAATATCTGTATCTCTAGTCTCTCTACTTCTCAAGGTGAAGTCGCTATATCTACGCCGCCGACTTACATGTTCTTATCGGTTCCCTGCCGATTCTTACCGGTTTTGATCATTTTTTCGCAGGTTCTGCAATGAAGGGAGGTAAATCCAAAGCCAACCTCGATAACAAGTATGTTACGTTCGTTCCTTTGCTCTCTGTTGATATCGACTGCGCTAGCGGTTGAGATCTGTGATTTTGATGTAATCACAACAATTGATACGAATCTCAATTATTTTGCCGTATTTGGACTCAATTCTGTGTTAATTTTTCACAGGCTCGCCGTGAAGAAAGGTAAGATGGATAAGAAGAAACCGAAGGCTGCCAAGGATCCAAACAAGCCGAAGAGACCTCCCACTGCCTTCTTCGTTTTCATGTACGCTATTTCACTCTCTATATCGGATTGATAAGCATGGACTGTTTTTTTCCCTCCGGCGAGTAGTCTGTTAGTATTTGCACTTGTTCTTCCTTGATTGTTTGTTTATGTTTTGAACATTAGGGAGGAGTTCCGCAAGACGTTCAAGGAGAATAATCCAGGGAACAAATCCGTATCCGTTGTTAGTATTTTTCTTACACAATTTTCACTGAATCGGGGAAAGTAGTATTTAATATTGTGTAATGTAATATACATGCAATTTTGACTTATTTGAATTATAAATGTTTAAATCTAACAGGTCGGTAAAGCGGGAGGAGTCGAATGGAAAAATATGTCTGAAAAAGTGAGTGTTCGATTATATCTATACACCAACTAGCAGGCTACGATCAATTATACTCCGTATTTGAGTCCAATTTTTAATAATTACTGTTTTTTTAATCTGTCAGGATAAAGCTCCATACAAAGCAAAAGCAGATAAAAGGAAGCGGGAATACGAGAAGACCATGGAGGCCTACAATAACAAAGAGACTGTTGCCCCGGTGGAAGAAGATGAATCTGATAAGTCAAAGTCTGAAATAAACGACAACAATGAAGATGATGACAGTGTTGAGGTTGGTATTTATTGAATGAAACACCAAGTCAAATACAGATTATTTTTTTGAAATGAACTAGAATTTATCGTGCTTTGCTACAGTTTTTTGCAATGTATAATTTCGAGAGTATGCAGGGTTTTGGAGTAATATACGGAGTATTTACTACTCCTTGGTATATTTGTAGTTGAAAAAGCTTTTTTCGGGAACAGCGTACTATACATACTTCATACTCCGTACTATATTAATGTTTGAAGAAAATAATCAACACGTATTCAGATCTGGATAAAATACGCAGTACTCCGTATAAGCTGTCTCAAAAACAAGTTATTTTTGTTTGTCAACACCTTCTAAATTGATCTATAATTGTTGGCTCTATAAAGTTTTTTGATATATCCGTTTACTTTTATTGTAAATATCTGAAGTGGTGTGGTTGTTTATGGGCAGGAGGGCAGTTTAGAGGAGGAGGCTTAAGAAATGCGTTGGAAGGAATTGTCGTTGTCTCACTCGCGGCCGTATATCTATGATCATCTATCTATATACTGCACTAGGAATATTTTGTAGACCCGTTTCAGTCTGCATGAACAAAATGCTTATGCATTCTCCTTTTGCTTTCCCCGTAGAATTATTTTTACTTACACCGAGTACAAAAAAACGCTTATGTACTTTTGACTTTCTTTTCCCCGTACTTTTACGCTTATAGTGTCATTCTTATCAAGTACTATGAACATTCTAGGCCCCTAGGCCTAGAAGGGGGTAAATGCTTACTTCCCCTTGTGAATTCTGATGATAGCTTTAGTTTTTACAAAGAATAGAATGCTTTTCCTCATTTGAGCACAAACTTGCCTTACTAATGTAATACGTATATTTTAAGATACAAATTGGCATTTAACATTTTTAGGTGAAAAAAATGTGACTAATGCTTCTCTCAATGTGCATATTGGTCTTTATTTCCCTCAAATGCATAGTGGATCATCATAAGACGCATATTTGTACATAGTTTTGACGAGTGAATATGAGTTGCACACTGGCAAGACGTTGATTGCATCACCAATGTGAGGGTCTACATAACCTTTAATCCGTCTGTGTGCATATCAATGACAGTTTTTGTTTTTTAGTAGCAAGCATATTTTTGTTGAGAGAGAGGCCTCTGCAGTTTGCATGCTATGGACTATGGAGCAAGGATATACTCCGTATATGGGGAAGGAGACGTTTAGGTTGAAGTGTGGAGGAAGTTGTTGATAAGTTGTCAGTGAGTGTCGGGAAATAATTATCGTTCTCTAAAGTCCTTGTAAGCTCTGCTTTGAAATAACTAATTTTATCTTAATCTTAACTAATTCCAAAACAAATACGAAGTACTACGTATATAAAGTGCAAACGTTATATAATTAGATTTTATTGATGTAAAAAGTTAATTGAATTGCAATTATTCTCTTAAGTCCTTGAAAGCTCTGCTTTGGAATAACTAATTTTATCTTAATCTTAACTTATTCCAAAACAAATACTACGTATATAACGTATCATAATAAAGTGCATACGTTATTTTTGTTGTAACATATTTCAAATGAATAATACTCCTCCTGCAATTAAGTTATCTTTGTGAGATGTCCTAACATTAAGATCTATTTTTTATACTATGTATATGAGGGAGGGGAAATTCTAAATGCAGCCCTTTTTTACTAAGCACAACTGATTAGACTTAATTTGCAAATATATAAGTGCTAATGTAGTAATCGATTCCGGTAAAATATCAGGTCGAATCCACAAGAATATGTCGTTCTATAAATTCTATTTTGAGCTGTAAAATAGAGAATAAAAGTTAAATGCATTGACTTTTGTTGTTTAAGTGAATACGAAGTATATGATAAAATGACCAAGCCATCGAGATTCACCCAAACATTAACTACAATTCAGTATAAGTCCTTTGTCAATTCTTATGAGTACGGTATCGCTATCATATTCCCAACTCCTGTTAAGACAATGAGAGTGTGGTTTTCTTTACATGTAAGTCTCGTTACGGCTCACATTCATCTAGAGAAAACACCATTAAATATTAGGATATCACACATGCACCATAAAAGATCAGATATATTACTATCATCAATACTTTGTATGTTTATCCTTCTATAGAACGATCTATATTGCGAAGTTAGTTGACCATACAAACCTCTAGATGTTATGCAACGTAATTGTATAAATTTTGTTTAAAGAGAGTAAAACAAAAATTATTTCTTTTAGTGTCCGATTGATATTTTAACATTAGTTACTTCATGTCAATACATATATTATACTTGATGGAGTATATGAGTCTGAGCCCTAGGACCCACATACTCAAAAGAACATAAAGCACAAGACACTGAGTGGTGCCCTCGTCGGCCAGGGGACCCCCGTCGGCCGAAAAGGTACCAACTCAGAATATGGTCCTGAAGCCAAGGAACCCGGGTGCCCTCGTCGGCCGGGCCCTCGTCGGCCGTACCCTCGTCGGCCACGCCCTCGTCAGCCACGAAGACCTCACAGAACAGGGTTTTACACTTACTCATTTGTACAACCCATTAGTGGCTTTGTATTCGGCCCAGTAGCGGTCCAGTTGTAATTGGGCCTCCTAAGCCCAAGGCTTGGGAACCCAGCCCGTATTTTCTCTATAAATACTCCCCTTGGGAGTAGTTATAGGGGTGACAAATTCATTCTATTGAAGCATATTATTGCACTTCTCTCTCTAGCTCTCACTTCTCTCTAGATATAATCTATCATTTGGTGCTCTCGTTGAGAGCTAGAACAATCAAGTTAGCACCCTTCGTCGCTACCAAGCACAGCTAACCACTGATCATGGGGAAAACTAAATCAAACCGCAACCTCGTCAGCAAGGCCATCTCTGAGGACCAGGAGACCAGGGAGCACGAGGAGGATGCTACGGCCGACCAGGTCGGCGGAGGCGACGTCTTCCAGGAGGCCTTCAACCTCATGACGGACCTCCGCAACCAACTCAACGGCGGAGCCCCTGATGCCTGCATCGGCTTGGACAAGAAACGAGCTGAGAAGACGGACCACGCCCCGACCCAGCCTATGGTCGTGGCCTCTCCGTCCGTGGATCCACATGTCCAGGGCGCGCTGTCGGTCATCATCGCTAGCCTGGCCCAGAAGCCCACCGTCCTCAGCGCACTCTTGCCAAGGACCGGGGGGAACGTCACTCCACCTCCTCAGCCCCAACCGTTGGCCGTCCAGATAGGCAACGATGAGGGGGTGATGGCCCAGGACACGGCGTCGTCCCACTCCCACCCCGCTTCCCCTCTTCGGCCTGGGCAGACCCCAGCGCGTGGAAAAGCCTCTGCCTTCAACAGGCTAGGTGACACGCGCCGTCGTCCGGTTTCGGAGAGGATGGCAGGACAGATTGGTGAGCGTCGGCCTGGCTCGCCAAGGGAAAGCTTGGGGTCTGTGTCCCGGACAGCGGACCAGCCCCGCCCGGACAAGGGCAAGGGGAAGCTGCACGAGGACGACGTGCGCCACCAGATCAATGCGGCTCACGACGAGCGCATAAAGAACCAGCCGGGCGCCGCTGCGGCCGCCAGGGACCCCCGGGACGAGGTCATCGCCCAGCTGGAGAGGAGGCTGGCTCAGATGGAGGCCAAGCAGTCGGCCAACATCCCTACGGCCGGCGCCTCCAACGACCCCGACCTCAACGCGCTCATGCACAAAGTCAGCGCCCTGGAGAGGGAGTTGGCCGAGGGGCGAGGTGACCCCATCATCCAGGTCAGGACCAGGACCCCTTTCACCAACAGGGTCCTCTCGGCCCCCATCCTGGAGAAGTACAGGGGAAACGCCATCAAGACCTACGACGGCGATCAGACCCCCAGGAGCACTTCAGCCGTTATCAGAACAACATGCTGATGGTGAACGCGTCGGATGAATATCTCTGCCGTTGGTTCCTCTCTACTCTTGAGGGGCCAGCGTACGAGTGGTTCAACGCGCTCCCCGAAGGGAGAATTGACTCATGGCAAGACCTTGCCCAACGCTTCCTCACCCACTTTGCGGGGAGGAAGCGTGCGAAGAAGTATTTCACCCACCTCCTCTCCGTCAAGCAGCAACATGATGAGTCCCTCCGGTCATTCATTGATCGGTGGACGAGGGAGACCGAAGAAGTCGAGGGGGCCGATGAGCGCATCCTCCTCGCCCTGTACCAGGGAGCCCTCCGCAGCTCCCCGTACGCTAGGAGCCTCATCACCGACCCTCCAAGGTCGTACGCCAAGGCGCTCCAGCGCGGAGGCTTGTACGCCGACGCCGACGAGCTCCACAATCACAAGAAAGAGGGGGGGCATCCATCCAAGAAGGCAAATCCTTCGCCGGCCCCGGGTCCGTCCCCGGCCGGCCAGGGTGCCCAGGGCCGTCACGACTCTGGTGGACAGAGTAAGAAAGATCGCCACTAGCGGCCGAGGTTGGAACGGCCGGGGGTTGCCCTCACTCACCCGGTCGGCATCATCCTCGACTATGCCGAGAAGCATGGCCTCATCGAGCAGGCTCCTCGGCCGGCCGAGGAGGTCCTTGCCATCCAGCAGGGCGGCACCTACTGCCGGTTCCACAAGAACTCCTCGCACAACACCGACGACTGCATCACGCTGAAGAAGGCCATCGAGCGTCTTATTCATCAGGGGGAACTCTCCCAGTTTGTTAAAGGTGGCCCACGCAAAAACACATGGGTGAACACCGGCAAACAAGGGGGCGAACCCTCTGCGAAGAAGCGAGAGATTGGTAGGCTCAACGACGATGAGGACTTCGAAGAGCCCCCGCCAAAGAAGAATCACATTCGTCTCATTGTGGGTGGGAACACTGGGGGGGACTCCGCCACCCAGAGAAAGAAATGGGCCCAATCCCTCTACATTGGGGAGGTGTCCCACGTTCCCCCCCAGCCGAAGAAGCAGCGAACGGAGGCGATCACCTTCACCGACAGGGATTTGCCTCCGGGTACGGAATCACACAGGGACGCCCTCGTCATCCGGTGTGAGATCGGTGACTCCATCATCCACCGCACTTACATCGATACGGGGAGCTCTGTCAACGTGATGTACCTGGATACCTTCAGGCAGCTGAAGCTGGACAGAGCTCTGCTGAAGCCGATCAAGACACCGTTATCCGGCTTCACCGGGGACTCTATCGACGCCGAGGGCACGATAGTCCTTCCCGTGGAGGTCGGTGACGCCCCCCCACCGCGCAAGGATTGACATGGAGTTCATGGTGGTCAACCTCCAGTGCGCCCACAACCTGATCTTGGGGCGGCCAGCGCTGGAGGACTTGGAGGCCATCATCTCGATGAAGCACTTGTGCCTGAAGTTCCCCACCAATGACGGCATCGGCTACGCCAGAGGAAACCAGAGGATAGCCAGAGCTTGCTACCTCAAGCTAACAAGGCCGGCCGAAAGGGAAGGACAGAGGATAGACACCATCACGGCATCCGTTGCCAAGGACGAGGAGAGGCCGCATGCCGAACCGGCCGAGGAGGTCGAGGAAGTCCCTCTGAATACCTCCCGGCCGGAGCGAGTCCTCAGAATCGGGAAGCAGCTCCCTCAGGACCAACGAGACGCCATCCTCCTCGTCCTGCGGTCATACGCCGTTGTCTTCGCGTGGGGCCCGGACGACATGCCAGGCAACAGCCGCCAGGTGATTACTCACCGGCTGACCGTCAATCCGGCCTCCATGCCCGTCAAGCAGAAGCAGCGCTACTTATCCGCCGACAGGCGAGACTTCGTCAAAAGAGAGGTCGTCATGCTCCTCTCAATCAAACACATTAAAGAGGTGAAGTACCCGAAGTGGCTGGCCAACGTCGTCCTCGCCCAGAAACCACCAACATTCAGGATGTGTGTTGATTACACCGACCTGAACAAGGCGTGCCCCATGGACCCGTTCCCTCTCCCCAACATTGATCAGTTGGTGGACG